GTTGAAATAACGAAAATTGCTATTTGATTTAAATAATCATTTAATATTTTTGTTATTTAAATTAATTTCTTTACTATAATAAATCATACCTAATTTCGCCAATAAATCCATGAAGATTACAAGGAGATTTTCCAATATACATAGGTCCGTCATTGAAAATAACGTTTTGCTTTCTAACGTCCTGGATGCTGAAGAATCCAGACCATTCACCATTTATGTAGATATCCAACCTTTTTTTAGGATCAGAGAGTGTATAAGCTATATGGTACCATTGCTGTAATAAAAGTCCATCAAGCGCGTCAATTCCAGCACTTCCATTCCAGTTTCCCGTGAATCGAGCGTGTAATGCAGATTTGTGAGCTGTAAGCCAGAGTCCTGGAGTACGAATAAGGCTTTCTGTACCTAAATTTATGTTTATTTTTTAAGACAGTAAGAGAATTAGTTGAATAATACGGTAACTAAACAAATATATAGATGAGCTTTACCTTTATGAAAAACAGAGGCCCAGTCGTCTATATGTTGTTTTAGGTTTATTCTTAATGTTATTGACAATTCATTTTTTACTACGGGCAGATCAACATGTTGAACGACTTTTTGATCTTGTTCTCCAAAACTAACAGAGTCTGAAATAATTTCTGCCCACTTTCTAACTATAAAATTTTTCATTTTCTTAGGAAAAATAAAATAAATTAGTAAAATAAATTTTTATTCAAATATATAAACTATATATATAAGTTATATCTCACGTTAGTGTGAAAAATTTTAGAAAATCTTTGTGGAAAGGATATACCTGTTATATTCCTGTTATTGAGAAAAAAAATTGCGTACGTATGTACGTACGTACGTACGTACAGTGCAGGAGGCCTTAAAAGCTCAATCACTTTATATAGAATAAAGATCTGGAGATATGCTAAATTCAGTTGCGGCTTATTTGCAGTATGCATAAAATAGCGATAGTTACTGCTAAATATATATTACTCTTGGAGTATTATATATGCAAAGAATTGAGAATTATTGCCCCTCACTTTATTGAAATTGACAATTTAAGAAATTTATTTTCAATGTTCAGTTGATGCATTATCCCTATATAAAGGGATTGAAGCCTTTAAATTTCCTACATCGTACGTACTGTACATACATACCTAAATATTTTCTATCGATTTTTTAAACGACTAACATTTTAATCATCATGAAAACATATTATGAGAACTTTGAGAGTTCCTCTTCAACAATAAGACAAAGTCGTCGTCGTCGTCCTTCAGCTAATAACATTTCAGCATCGCGGGAAACATCAATAAACCAAGATGGCAGATCTTTATTTAGTGGTATTATTTATTTTCTTATTGTATTTACTTGTAAAAGTAATTAAATAATTTAATAAGTAATATAACTTTTTTGAATTATCTAATTTACGTTTTATATAAAATTTTAGATGGATTTGGACGAAATATTTCTCTAGCTGATGAAGAGCTCAACCTTGAAACATAACCAAGGTATTTAATACTG